ATCCATCCATCCATCCATTTATCTATCCATCCATCCATTTATCCATCCATCCATCCATTTATCTATCCATCCATCCATTTATCTATCCATCCATCCATTTATCCATCCATCCATCGATCCATCCATCCATTTATCTATCCATCCATCCATTTATCTATCCATCCATCCATTTATCCATCCATCCATCGATCCATCATCCATTTATCCATCCATCCATCCATCCATCCATCCATCCATCTGTCCCTCTGTCCATCCATCCATCCATCCAACCAACCATTTATTTATTTATCCATCCATCCATCCATCCATCCATCCATCCATCCATCCATCCATCCATCCATCCATCCATCCATCCAACCAACCATTTATCCATCCATCCATCCATCCATCCATCCATCTAACCAACCATTTATCCATCCATCCATCCTTTCATCCATCCATCCTCTGCCACTTATTCATGGTTAATTCAAAGGGGCAACAGGTCTAGGATAGAGACCCTAATTTGTTTTCCCAACAACTCTCAAGCTTTTCCTGGAGAATCTGAAGTCATTCACAGGCTAGAGAGGATACATAATCTTTACAGAGACTTCTGGATCTGCCTCTGTCCTGTTAGGCGTGATTTCAAAACCTACTGCAGGATGCATCCTGACTTTTACCTTGTTTAAAGATATTAATGTTTGAACAACTGCCTTGACATTACACGTCAGACATTTTAATTCCCGTCTTCTTCTTCTATCACTCTTCTTCCCCACTGAATTATTTATTCAGTATAACTGCTGCCGTGCCCTGAGCACATCCTCATCCCACCCTAACCCCTCTGACCCCTCAATAACATACCGGATAATAACGAACAAACACAAGAAGATCAAAGACGCAAAAAAACCCACAACTCCATAGCTTAATAATGTACAGAATAAATCAGATTGTCTGATGGCAGCAGCACAATGAATCACAATGCTCATACTTGTGTGTACAGACCGAGAGACAACATTTTTCACATTAGATTGGTTCTTTTGCTTCATGTGACTGTGTGGGTATTTGGGGGAGATGTGTAATTTTACATACTGTATCTGTTAAGGTCAGGCTGATTAATGTGATGTTGTACCGTTTTGGGGCAGTGGACGTATCGTGCCAGACTGATGATCAGGTCATGTGTGATGGGATCAACCAGGTTTCGGAAGCTGGCGTAGCGATACAACACGTCATCCAGAGATGTTGACTCCATGCCCAAGTCCTACACACATAAAATGAGATCATTAAATTCTCAATAATAGGGGCTGCCGCAGCTCCGTGGTCAGAGTTGTAAATATGAGGTTGCAGGTTTGAGCCCAGGTTGCATCAGGAAAGACATTCGACTTAAAACAATTGCTGAGTCTTTTGTGCAAATTTTGATAAATGTGATCACCACTGAACAAGCAAGAAATAAACATTACAGTTCATTTGTCTATCCATCAATCCATTTTTTACCTGAAACAAACAAGAAAATCAACCACTTACACTCATACACACTTATGCTGCGCTCACACCGAACGCGATTTCAGCTTCAAAATCGCAGCCAACGCTGAAGTTTGAAGCTTGTGCACTTTGAGGTCAGACGCAGGTCAGCTCTTGAAGCGCTGCACGGCGACAGCCTCCCCGCCCCTCCCTCCTCTGTCGGGCTCTGTTTTAATGTCGGACGAAGAAGTGGCTTTGCTTTATTTACAGAGAGCCAGAGCGTGTCACGTTCATCAGATAATTAATTCATAATTAATTCACCAGATAATTCAGAGTAGAGGCTCACAGCTCGCTTTCAGGACTATTTTTTTCAGTCTGATGAGTCTCTGTCACGCATTGCTGCGGATCAGGACACGACTGCAGCACTAATTTCAGCTAAAAAGCTCCTCTCCATCTGTTTCAGGTTAGTGGACATCATTCAGTAAACTGTCCCGTCGGGAAATGTGTCACTACGTCACACAGTGGAGTCTCTCTGATTGGTTGACGCGGCGCGTCGAGCTGCAAAAGTTCAGATTTTCTAACGCGATTTGTGCCTCAGTGTGTCGAACGCTCAGATCGTTCAAATCGTTCAAATCGCGCTGCTCTAATCGCGCTTGAGGCGCCGCAGAACTTCCCAACGTTGCTTGAAGCGTGTCCACCATAGACTTTGTATGTAAACCTGATGCTCCTGACGCTGAAATCGCGTTTGGTGTGAACGCACCATGAGGGACTCTCTCTAACAGCTGCTTGAGATTAAATAAAATAAATTTGTATTATCTTCAAATAAAATATACTTGAACAATTCCAATACTCTATACAGATCACTTATGTACAGAATGAACAATTGTGGTCCCAACACTGAGCGTTTTTTTTATTAATGGTTTGTAATTGTATGTCATGATTAATGGTATCAAATGCATTTTTCAAGTCAATAAATACTCTATCTGCAAAGATTTTGTGGTCCATGCTATTAATAATTTCTACTCTCATGTGCAATGATGTCATTGATGTGGATCTGCTTTGTCTGAAACCATAATGACAATCTGTCATTATGTTGTGCTTTTTGATGAAGCCATCAAGCCTTTGAAGGAACAGTTTTTTCCATAATTTTAGAGAACTGTCAGAGTAATGATACTGGCCTGTAATTGGTAAAAAGGTATTTGTCCCCAGCCTTAAATACTGGAGTAACTTTGGCAATTGTGAAAATTATCCTGTTGTGAATGATAAGTTATAGATGTAGGTCAATGGTTCCACAATGGCATCCATCACTTTCTTCACTACAGTCATATTAATATCATTCCAGTCAGTGGATGTCTTATTTTTTAACATTTGTTGACTGTATCCATTATTTCTTTAGTCGTTACTGGTTTCAGATAAAAAAACAATATTGATTTTATGTAATATAATTTTCAACAATGCCCCTCCCGTTATCATTTAAATTGTTTAATTCTTCAGTTAACTTTGGTCCCACATTTACAAAAACAAGATATATGCCAACCGTCGCTGATGTCCTCTGTTACTATTTAGTAATGACTAACCATTAGCAGTACTGTTGGAATCATCACAGGCCTACTTTATTTAAATCATTTCCTCAGGTGAACAGATGGATGGATTGATGGACAGGGGGCTAAAGTGATCTTGTCAAAGTACTACACAAACTTGTTGAGCAGGTCTCCCTTATGATGCACACAAAACTTTGTTCAGATCGGATCATGTGTGATTTTTAGCCAACCATGCACCAGCCCCTGATGACAGCCGTCGTGTACATTACCCCCAGACAGAACTCTGCGATGCAGACCTTGTGATTCGAAGCGTGTGATTGGTCAGAACTTTGTGAGTGCTTGAGCAGGTCTTCTTTCTACATGATATTTTGTTTAAAATTATTTTTTTCTGAAGCCTGTTGTTAAAAGATCTAGAAGAGCAGCTTGATTCTACTGAATGCAGCATTCAGCTAATGTTCACATTTTTTTTCCCAGGCTGTCCTTCAGAAAACAGCGTTCATACTGTTTTGTGACGGAGAGCTATGCTGTCCCAGCGAGTCTGCTTCTGCAACGCCTCTGCATAGTGATTGGGCAAATGTGGGATCTGGCACAGGCTGGACTTCAGATCAGAAAGGGTCCAGCACGCTGAGCATTTTCACCTCCTATGAGACAGCTGGATGTCTCCAATTTGGGTGAGCTGTCCAACTGTACCTAATCAAGTCATTCCATGCAAATGGTTCAGAGAGCAATCCTGTTAACAGCCAAGGCAACTTTTATAACTCTTCTAATCTGCAGTAATGAATTTACTAATATTTAATCTGATCAAGATCTTAACATCTTCTTTCCAAATTGACAAAAAAAAAAACCTTAGAGGTTTTAACCTAGGTCACTTGCCTATTAATAATAGAAGAAAAGGGAAATATTTCCAAGACCTTATTTTAACTAGACGTTTAACATCAAGTCTACAATACTTTTCACCTTTAACTGTTTTATAAACCTTATTGTTTGTCTTTCGTGTTATTATTTTTACTCTTTTTATTCATGAATCAATTAAATAGATTTTTCTACATTTTTTGTAATAAATTACCATGAAAGAAAAAGCTGATCCCTCTTTTTTTTAGTTTTTATGCATGAGATAAGAGTTCCCTGCTTATCTTATGATCTCACACTTTGGTATATGATTAAAAAGGGTGAATAGATATCATCAGTTAAATCTGGTTGGTGCCCCAGCAAGTTATAAAGTGCAGCACTTTATAACTATAACACCCCTACTACTCACTTCACATGTAAATGAAAAGTGTAAGAAGGCAGCAGTGTGCCTACACCAGTGCTGTAGAATTGCAGGTAGTCGTTGGGGTGCTACCCCAAAGGTTATCAGATGAATCTACATGGCCATAGTCCGCCCCATGCTATGCTATGCAGCTTTAGTGTGGTGGGTTTGAGTCCAAGTTGGGGTGGCAAGAGGGAATGGCCTGTCTGAGCATCACAGGTTCCATCAGAACAACACCCACGGCAGCCATGGAAGTCCTACTGGACCTGGCTCCACTAGATTTACATATCTTAGGGGAGGCCGCATCCAGTGCAGTAAGGCTACACCAGTCTGGTAGGTGGAAAAACTGGAAAATCTGACTGCACACTAGAATCTGGGACTGGGCAGTTACTGCTGTTCCGGTAACTGCAGGACCCAGAAACAGAGTGGTCAAAAATACAATTTTTGAGTCAAGTTTTAAGACAGAGATCAGAAGACAGGTCTGTCTGGATTAACCTCTCAACGACGGACATGTCTCCCAATCATTTCTACTGTTTTACAGAGGGATCCCTTCTGAAGGGGTCAGTAGGTGCAGGGGTGCTGATTATACACAACCGTAGTGAGAGAGACCCACTAGGAGGATTTACAACTGTTTCTCAAGCTGAGATGAAATCCACCAGTGTGTGTCATCTCTCAAAGACCTTCAGTGTACACAGGAGATATTCATCCTGACAGATAGCCAAGCTGCTATTAAAGCTCTCCAAGGGCCACACGTCATTACTGGTTTGGGAGTGTGCCGAAGCAGTCAACCAACTGGGGAGAGATAACAGTATTACTGTTAAATTGGTACCAGGACATACTGGCATCTATGGTAACGAGACAGCTGACTACCTCGCAAAAGCTGGCAGTCAGGCTCACTTCAACGGACCAGAGGCTGTTGTAGGTATCTCAACATCAGTCTGTAGGCCTTCCCTACAGGCCTGGATTAGACGTCAACACCCATTCCACTGGAGGGAGATGAAGGACTGTAGACAGGCACATAAAAGGCACAAATCTTAGCTTTTTATCTGCAATTAAAATGCAGTGAATGTTTATTATGGAGGCCGCAAGGGGACATGGGGGATTATTTTCCTTTTGGGTTCCCACGCAATAGTATTGCGTTACCTCGCAATACCTTTTGCATTCCCTCGCAAAAGTCGTTTATCACTGTTGTGCCTGCCGGTTTATTAACAAACTCACATGTTCACCATTAACAAGTTAGCCTACTGCTTTAATTCAGCTTCGGAATGAATATATCACACAGCCACGCATGGAAGTATGATATTTTAACACAGTGCAGCCACGCAACATCAATGTCAATTTCACAAATTTGTGGCAACACATCCTGTTTTGGTAACCGGATATTTCAAAATAAAAGTCTGATTTAATTCAGCTAATACAAAACAAACCTTTGCGAGGTAACGTAAACGTATTGTGAAGTAATGAAAAGGCAGTTTTCTTTTTTTTTTATCTTACTCAAAATTTTAGAGTCTAGCTGTGATAGTGTACCAGGTTTTACTTTTTTTTAGAGGGGTTAGGTCAGGGCTAACAAATGACAAACATTTAGTCAGAGTGGCTTCGACTGGGCTTTATGTCTGCTTTAAGCCAAATAAGATTGTCCCACCTTTTTTCACAAAACACAGCCAGCCTTAGTAATATGTTACTGTGTAGGTACTGATACGACTCAGAGCTTTTCAGGTTGTTCATCTTCATTTTGATATTTTTGTGCTTTATTTGCGTATATTCCACTTAAAATAATCACATACACACAACGTATCTTCAAATGTGTTAATATTGAAAGTTTGTGACTAAAGTGCTCGTTTATGGTGTGAGAAAAGTCTTATCTTCTGTTTTAAATAATTTAGACACTCCCTTAGATAAACAAAAAGTTATTCAAGCTCATAAATGTTGGATCTGTAGAGATGTACGGTTCTCAAAGGACAGTGATACTACAAACATGATCTTGAATATGATGCGTTGCTTTACTTAACA